TAAAATAATTGCAATAATTCTCGGGAAGCCAATAATTATTGCAATAAGTCTTGATTGGACATTAAATAACTTTATTGCCCAATCACAATAAAATAAAATACTTATTGCAATATATTTAAATTATTGTTTTCACAATATATTTTTGACAATCACTGCTCGTGGCTACATTCGTAGCCACCGCAGCAACGACAAGAAACCGAATGCTGCGCCAACTGTGCATGGAGCCCTGAAGACTGACAAGGATGTTGGGTTCGAGCGGCCCAAGATCAAGTGTTTGAAGTGTCAATCTACTAGCACCGTGTCCGCGAACACCCTGGCATCACCGACGACGAGGTGAAGAAACTGATGGACGAGTTTTACGCCAATCGTCGAGGTGTGAACGCCATGAAGAACAGCGACAAGGGCAACAGCATGAAGTGCCGTGCCACGTTGGACGACGTGCTGGTGCTGCCCCGCGTGTTGCTGGACTCAGGCTCAGATGAGTCCCTGGTGTCGAATGGATTGCTGCAGGCGCTGGAGCGCCTGGGATCAAGACCCAGCGTTGTGGTCAAGCCAACTGTAACGCTGAAGCCGTATGGTGAGAACTCGCTGCCGCTCAAGGTGACGCGGCAAGTGCAGTTCAAGGCGCTGACCTTGGAGACGTCCATTGGACCCTTGGCTCTCCGTGGTTTGAAGGTCTGGGTGGACGAGCAATCGCCGCAGATCAACCTCCTGATCGGTCGACCTGTTATGGACCGCCTCGGGTTGTCGGTTGATGGCATGCTCGTTGATGCGTTGAAGAAGCGCCAAACCTGGGAAGTCGGCGATTTGGGCGACGGTGAAGACAAACCAAGAACCGTCCAACGCCTGCGGGAGACGTATGGTGACGACGCTGAAGAGTTGGACAGCGTCGAAGGCGTTGCGTGCTCTACCCTGTCGATGGAGAAGACGACCGACCCAGACGGACAGATACGGCGCATCCTCGACGAGAAGGTAGCAGAGGCCATGGAGCGTGGCCTTATGGATGTGCAAGCAGTGGAGCTCAGGCGCATCCTGACCCAGCACATCGATGTGCCCGCCTGGAGTTTGGTTGGGACTTGCCGGTGGATGTGGAGCCGTTGATGGTACGGCTGAAGGAAGGCGCGGTCCCTGTGAAGATGTCACTGCGGCGGTACCCGCCTGCCCACATGGATTACCTCAAGAAGCATGTGGGAGA